AATAAGCTCTAGTTTTTTGAGACATCCCCAAACGTGGGCCTTATAAAAATAATTAGGCTTTTAGCACAGTAACCAAAATAATTATACTTACCCTTCATAATATTATATATCAAACAGCACTTCTTAGAATTCATTTTGAGGTATTTCTCATACTCTTTCGATTTCAATGTAGCTGAACAAATTTCACATAAGCAATATGTAAAGTTTACGCCATATGTATACTATATATTTTTGCATTTTTATTTATACACTTAGCACTCAATATTACAAAATATTTAAATAAAACAAACAATACCACACCCAACAAAACATCCCCACATATGACAGAGTATAAATCAAAATGGCGTACAGCGTACAGGCTACAGGGCGCAATGCACTCTGGGAAACCTGACTCCTGATTATGAGTCCCTCTGCCGAAAAAGGAAGACAACCGTTAAACGTTTAAAACGTTTTAAAACGTTTAATCAAATTCAAATATTTTAATATACTTTTAGGAATTTTTTGTAAAACTTCTAAGTTTTTAAATTTTTTGAAAAAAAATAGTTTGTTTTAAGTAATTGAAGAAGTTAAAATTCTATTTTTTGGAAAACTTAGAAATGTATTTTTATTAAAAACTTTAAATTTTTACTATAACTTCCCGTAGTAAGATATAAGTAGTCGCAACAAAAATCGAGAATGAAAATTTTGTTGACGATTTCGGGAACACATTCGATTCGTATTGATAAGGAGGCGTGCTGATTAGTGTTTGGCCGAGGCAGGTCTAGCCGTTCCGAAGATACGGGGCAAAAAGTGCCAAAAACGGTAACCCAATTTTTAAGAGAACGGAGCGTACGAATTTAATAATTCAAAAACCATTATTAAATTTTTGGGGACGCAGCTCTAGCGATTACAGAGATCTAGTGAAAAAAGTAAAAAAAAATGCTATTAGGCGGTCGTACATGATTATTATCAGATATTTTATTTATTTATTTATTTATTATACGCCATCGGCTATGGAGATTTTAATAATATGTTCAATTTTGTTACGTTTACGTTACGTTTCTATGGTTTCCGTAACATCGTTTGTTTGTTTAACAACGACGCGGCGCTTACCGCGCTCGATATTTTATCTCATCAAAAACATTTTTCTTTAAAAGTTTTTCAAAAAAATCAATTTTTTTCTCAATGTAAAATTGTTTAAAAATCTGATTTTTTCAAAGTTAAAAAAAATATTTTTAAAAAAAAATTTTTTTTACGGTGAAGTTCCAGTAATTTGCCTTAACGCACGATGCCATACACCACTAGTTAAATCTAATCGGTTGTATAAAATATATATATATCCGTGCTCCATAACTGACACTACGGAATTTAAAAATTAGATCAATCGATTTTTCATTAAAATATAAAGTTGTGGAAAATTTTTTCTAACAAACCTTGCACATTTATAACATTAGGTACATTTGTTATATAACTTTGTAACTCCCGATATACATTGCGCTTAGGGGGCGTCATTAATCAGTGAGCTCGTTTTTATGATTTTTGGACCCCCCCTCCCCTTGGTGATACATGGTGATATTCAAAATTACCCCCCCTCCCCACACCAAACATCACATGTATTTTTAGTTACGTGAAAAACTCTAGATTTTTTTTTATTTTTTTGTTGAAAATGTTTGAATATTTTTTAAAAAATCAGTTAAAAAATATACAACGTGATATCTCTTACTATACCCTCCCTGCCCCACGGTGATATTTCGTGATTTTTTGTCAAACCCCCCCTCCCCCCCTAAAAACCTCACGTGATTAATGGACGCCCCCTTACATTACACTTAGTTAACATTGTTATATAACTTTGTAATTTCAAAATACATTGCGGGTACATTACATTTAGTTAACATTTGTTATATAACTTTGTAACTTCAAAATACATTGCGCGTACATTACATTTAGTTAACACTTGTTATATAACTTTGTAACATAAAAAGTTACATTGCGGCAACAATAGTGTTTACTGGGACTATATATTGATCTTGAATCTACAACCTCCTTCTATCGTTACTTTTGCTAGTCATTATAAGTTACAGGTATTTATATTCATACATTTATACCCCTACCCCGAATGGTCCCGGATTAAATAGAAAAAGCCCTGGTCAAATCTTGACCAAAATTAAATAAATACTGTTCATTGAAAAGTGGAGGTTTTTAGTTAGATTTTTTTTTACTATTTTAGATATACAGAAAATCTCGATCTAATATTATTATATTTATATTATATTAAAAATAAAATTGCTTGTTTTTACTATTATTAAATAGCTTTGTTACAAATTTTTAAAAACTTGGTCTGTCCCATCTTCAATGTAACTTTTCCACTCAAAAGAAGTTTTTGATGTATATTATATACATAATGTGTATTATATACATAATTTTCATACATTTTTATTATAATTATAAGGTTTTGCTGGAAAGTCGCAAATTGGAGTCAGTAATAGAGTGGCCCGGCTTCATTGGAGATAACGCAACTTGTGCTTGCTGGTATAAAAATGGAATTCTGGTGTCTGGACCGAATGGAGAACTCAGAGTAAGATGAAAAAAGATATATTATTATTTATATATATATATATATATATATATATATAAAAAGCTTTATTTTTCATTTTACAAAAATTAACAAAAACTATAAAAACAAATGTCAATTTCTTCAAGTTGATTATGAAGAAAATATACATATCATTGAAAAAAGTTCTTACTAGAAGTCTGCACATCTGATTAAAAACAAATTGATTAATTTAAAAAAACTTTTATTGTTATCTTAAATAGTGTTCGTTATTTTCAAACCATAATTAAGTTACTTAATATTTCATCCCGGATTACAAGTATTAAAAAATATCGTCCTGGTTTTGACTTAAAAAAATATGGCCACCTTAATATTATACAACAAGGAAGAAGTTACATATAAGTCGTTACTGACAATGTATATTGAAATGTGAAACGGTGTGGTTAATTATATATCGCCCCTGGTTCCGTCTATCTGCGTAGGGGTAAAGCTTGGCAACCCAAAATCGACCTGCCACTGGTGTTGGTGACTCGAGCGGGCACTGGGGTAAAGCCTGGCAACCCAAGTTCGACCTGCCACTGGTGCTGGTGACTCGAACAGGCACTGGTTTGAATATCATTTCTTTAAATCTGGGTTATTCCTAAGTCATAAGCTGGAAAACTTATGGTAGCAATAAAAGAGAGAATCATCCTCCAACCACTTTATTGATAACACTCTAAACTATACTTTACTTATAATTAACGCTTTACAAGATTTTATTGGATGTTATAGTGTTCCTGATGTCCAGGATAAAATCCTGAACACAAATAGATTACCGTTATATACTAATATTTTGGGTCACCAACAATAAAGCAAGGTGCTTTAGTAATATATTGTTTATGGCCTCAAGAATTTTATAGACAAAATACTGCTTCTGTCATAATTTAAACAAATATTGTTTATAATAGCTCGACAGTTGAATATATCGAGCAATTTGTTTTTTACTTTACTTTATTATAGCAATCAGAAAAACAATAATAACATAGGCCAACAAAAAAAAGTTTTTTTTTTTGGTGCCTCAAATGTTAGAGCTGATTCTTATAGTATTTTTGCGCTGATTTCAAATCTGCAAACCATTTTTTTGTATCAGCTCTAGTTTTTGAGATACAAAGAAGTTGCCGAAACCAGGTCCATTCGAGGTCGTCACGGAAAAGAACTTTTCACAGTGTCAACTAATGTCCCAACTAAGGCCGAATGGGTCTTGTAAGTTTGTATGTACGAGTAGTCATATCTCATTAAAATAACATTCGGAATTGTATTACTCTTTTGTACTTTCGTTCCTTATATTAGGTGCGCAACTAAGTTCTCGCTGTTTGTCAGTATATGGCTCTATCAATGAGGGTTGGTCGATTTTGACAAATCCAAAACGTCTTGAAGCAAGCTTAGAGTAAGTAAACAAACTGCTGCGACACATAATTGATTTCGTTTTTGCATTATATACTTCTGGTTAAGTGAATATGTCCAATTTTATGCCAAACAATCGTTATTTGCGAGGAGTGTTGATTTTCGTCTTCCATTCAAAAAAAAAACGGGAACTCAAGTGCATCGAGACCTACGGAAATGTTGCTCTGAGCGAAACAACATGCCGTGAAGGGTTTTGTCGCTTCAAAAATGGTGATTTTGATGTTGACGACCACCCTCGTGAAAGAAGGCCAAAACCTTCAAAAACGCTAAATTGAAGGCCTTGTTCGAAGAGGATTCGTGTCAAACTCAAGAATATCTTGCTTTAGAATTAGGAGTTACCCATCAAACCATTTCCAAGCTATGGCATGCGTCGGGGATGATTTAGAAGCAAGAAACTTCGGTTTCTTGTGAGTTGAAGCCAAGAGACATCGAGCGTCGTTTTTTCGCCTGTAAACAACTGCTCCAGCGGCGAGAAAAGAAGAGGTTCTTCATCACATCGTGACAGGTGATAAAAAATGAATACATTACAGCAATCCAAAGACGAGAAAATCTCGGTTTGGCCGAATGTTCACTGCGAAGGTTATGCTCTACATATGGTGGGACCAGGTCGGTGTTATTTGTTATGAGCTGTTGAAACCGAGTGAAACCATCACTGGAGAACTGTATCGAACTCAATTGATGCATTTTTTTTATAATGAAGTTACATTTTCATCGAAAAAACAGCGAGAACTTAGTTGCGCACCTAATATCGTAAAATATATCATATATATCGTATCTTGAAAACTAAAGCTCATAGAAAAAAACCAATGTCATTTTTGAAATCAGCGCCCCAAATATACTTAAAAACAGCATTAAAATCGTTTGCATCATTTTCTTTGTTGACCTGTGTAATTTATTTGAGCTAAACTGTACACTTAAAAGTATGTACGAGTAAAAGTATGTGTTATCTAAGATAATCCAGTGATATATCTTCTCAGTTAGTTTGCGCATAATCCAATGGCCATGTCTTTTTCAGTCTTCTATTGTCATGTGGCAGTAGGATGTCTTCAACTTTTGGGTTTGGGTGGGTCTCTAATTTGTTTCTATGGATTAAGGCACAGTCTTGTATTGTTTCCTGTACAGTTAACAATTTCAGGTCATTGTATATTGTGAAGTTTGTGACATACCACTGTTATAAGTTGATGATATTTTTTCTTTTCTTACATTATAATTCTCTCACCAATTTGAGTATACAAATGCATTTTTAAAGAACTTGCTCAATCTGCAGCATGTATCAATACATGTTCGTCCAGAGCTTGTTTTGTTTTGAATGCTTTAATGCAAGGGGTGTTCTTCATTGTGCCCTAATAAATGTCTACTTAAATGGCTTGATCGTATGAATCTTTTATTGCATAAATCACATTTGAAAGGGCGATCTTCTTTGTGCATTAATAAATTTCTCTCAAAAAACCGTGTCTCTATAAATTTCTCTCAAAAAATGTGTAAAAAGTTTATTGAATATTAAAGAGTGAACTAAAAGATGATGTTTTCATGGTTTATTCAAATTTTTGTTATGAGTTTTCTTACATCATAATTCTCTTACCAATTTAAGAATACAAATGCATTTTTAACACTAGAATGACGGAGCGAGTAATTTGGCTCAATTTGCATTTTTATGCGATATACATAACAATTTCAAGTCGTTTTTGAAGTAAAACTTCCCTAGGGGCGACTAGGGTGTAATTGTGTAAAAATGCGACGGAAGAGCGTTACGCTCGAGTCGAGTGCCAATGATTCGTCATTCGCTCTCGATATCATTTCTGTACGGGTCGATTGTGATTGGTCGTCGTGTCGCGTGAGTATGATTGCTTTGATTGTATGCGTAATAAAACAAATGGAAAATGTGTGGCGTGTAAGAAACGTAACTTTCTTGAAATAATTTGTATTAATAGTGGTTACTATATGTTTTTAACTGCCCGTAGGGAAAATGAAAATTTTTGCATATCTTTACGTTTTGAAGGTTTCTGAACATTTTGGCATACCTCATTCAGAAATGAATGTGTGTGTGTGTTTTGTATGTCCGCATTTGTTCGTCCACGTTTTCGGGCGCACGGATCAACCTATTTGTATGGTTCAAAAAACATTCAAATCCTATTGATAAGCTGATGTGTTGATTAGTTTTTGGCAGGGTCAGGTCCAGCCGTTACGGAGATACGGAGCAAAGAGTGCAGAAAATTCAAATCGCGTTTTTGAGAGAACGCAGTATCCGATTTTGAATGATTTAAAAAACATTCAATTTGTAATGATTAGGAGAATGAGGTGATTAGTTTTTGGCAAAGGCAGGTCCAGCAATTTCGAAGATACAGAGCTAAATGTGCAAAAAAATGCAACTTTTGAGAGAACTAAGCGTCCGATTTGAATGATTCAAAGAACTTTCTGCTTGTTTTAACAAAATTACTTTTGGAAAAAAAACATTTCATTTTTTTTTTGTACATTGAAAATAATTCTGATTTTATTTTAAATCTGGCAAAAGTCCTAATATACTTAAACAAATAATTTCAACTTAGCTATTCAGTTTATGTAATTTTTATTTATAATAATCTATTTGAAAACATTTAATATTCCTCGAACATTTCGTTACGGTACGGGAAGTTCCAGCAATTTGCCTTAAGGCACGATGCCATACACTACTAGTTTCGAAATTATTTTCATAGGCAAGACACATACTACTGCTGCTCAAAGAATGAGACTGTATCGCTAGCGAAATAGTTAAAAAAAAACAAACAGCCAATGAAAGTATGTAAATTTTAATTACATGACAAGTGAAACAACTGTTCTCGTTCAAATATAAAAGTATTACAAAGTTGCATATTTTTACAAATAATGAAAAATGAATTGATATTCAGATTTATCACTCTAAACAAGTAATCAAGCACAATAAATAGTTTGTGTAGCTGTGTATTATTTATATACAGATATACTTCATAATAAACATCTATGCAATTAATTTATTGCTAGTATTAATGAAATTATTCAAGATTGTTATATTACAGCTGTGCACTGTGTGAATAAGTATTATAAAATTTATTGATCAGCAATTACTTCATTTGTCTAATGCAATTTCTCTAAGGTTCAAATTCTAAATGATAATTGCAATGGCAAACCGATCATGTTGGTTATGGTCAAACATTATAAATATTTTTAAAGCTATTATAAATATATAATTTATAATATATTATTATATAAATAGGTATAGTGGTTGACATTAATAAATGTTGGTTTTGGTCTTTCATAGTACAATGAAAGCAATACAATAATTAATATCTATTCCTCCCTAATCCCTTACCCAAATTGAATCTCAATCAGGCAAAATAGGTATCGAAATGATATAAGTTGTTGGTAGGAGGTCTAGGTATGGGTTGGGGTCCAATGTTGAGTTGATCCACACTCCAGCACGGTTGTAACGACAGGTATATTCTTTGTCCGAGGTCTAGGTATGGGTTGGGGTCCAATGTTGAATTGATCCACACACCAGCACGGTTGTAACCACAGGCAGATTCTTTGACCGATTGGATAGTAAATCCTTCCAATCCTATCCTGATCCCTTGGGTCGAGCAGTAGGAGTAAGTTTGAATTACTGGTTCGTAAAATAGATCTCTTTGGAATCATGAGTACTTCCAGTAAGATATAAGCTGAAAGAGATATGTTTCTTGCTTCTAATCCAATAGAAAATCCACTTGTTGAACTGTACACTTTATTTATTCTTTCTTATCACAAATTCCAACAGACATAATCTCCTCTTAAGATATTCCAAAACTACTCTAGACTAGACTCTCTCTTAAGACTCACTGAATTCGATGGATCACTATTCTATTTATTAGGTATAGGACGTGACATATGTGCACTTCCGCATTCTCGCTCTGGCCATGCACTTTGATTATTTATCAAAACTCCACGAATTGCATTATTACACAATAGTATACAACCAACCTCCGTCATTCTAGTGTTAAGAAACTTGCTCAATCTGCATCTGCATGTATAAATACATGTTTGTCCAGAGCTTGTTTTGTTTTAAATGCTTTATTACAAATTTCACATTTATAAGCGTGTTCTTCGGTGTGTCCTAATAAATGTCTGCTTAAATGACTTGATCGTATAAATCTCTTATTGCATAAATCACATTTGAAAGGGCGATCTTCTTTGTGCACTAATAAATGTTCTCTCAAAAACCGTAAATGTGTAAATTGTTCATTGCATAATAAACATTTATGTGTGCATTCTTTAGTATGAATCAATTTATGTTGGTTTAATGTTTGTTTTGTTTTGTATGTTTTACTGCATATCTCACATGCAAAAGGACGTTCCTCAGTATGAAGAGTTTCATGCCGCTCCAACTTTTGTTTTGTTGTAAATGTTTTACTACATGATGTACATTTATGAGGGCGATCTTCAGTATGTCCTAATAAATGTATTTTAAAATGAGTTGATTGTAGAAATCCTTTATTGCATATTTCACATTTGTAAGGACGTTCTTCTTTGTGCAGTAATGAATGTGCTTTCAAGAAGCGAAATTGTGTAAATTTTTTATTGCATATTTCACATTCATGGGGACGCTCCCCGGTATGTGTCATTTCATGCAGTTTTAAGTTTTTTTCTGAAGTGAATGCTTTATTGCATATTTCGCATTTGAAAGGGCGTTCCACGGTATGAGTTTTTTCGTGTAGGTTTAATGAGTCTTTTCGTGTGAATGTTTTATTACATTTTTCACATTTGAACAGGCGTTCTCCGGTGTGGACAATTCCATGCCGTTTTAATTTTTCTTTTGCTTTGAATGATTTGTTGCATATTTTACATTGATGGAGTTGTTTTAAGTTATATGTTGTTTGATCTAAATTTACTTCATTTGTACTTGTGGCCGCATCTTGATCATCAATTGGTTCTAACTTTATATGTTCATCTATTATTACTTCAGATTCTAAAAATTGTTGTGGATATATTTCTTCGTCTTCGGGACATACTTCTGTTATTTCATAATCATCTAAATCTTGTTTAACTTGAAGACATTCGAGTGGTTCTATTTTAATTGTTGTCCTTGTGTTTGTTTCTTCTGACATTTCAGGCACTTGATGCTTCTTAAACATAAACTAACAATGGCTTACAAAAATATAAAAAGACTTTTAATTTGTGTGCTTTAAATCTATAATAAATATGTTTTATTATATTTTTATTAATTCATTTTGTTTAAATATAATACAAAATAATTTCATTAATAACTTTGACATTTCTATCTCATTTTTACCTCGCAGTTTGAACAACATTAAAAATATGTAACACCAACATGTCAAATGCTAATAAAGGTGCATCCACACCTTTCCACAACGAACAAGAAAATACAAAGAAGAACAAACACGAACACGAACGATGGCAAATCATTCCAAACAAACGCTTCAAAGCAGTGAGGGCCTGAATCTTGTTTTCGAGGATGTACCGTAAAACGTCGGTTTTATTATTAACTTCCCGAAGGAGAAGTTTATATTTTCATCAAAAAATCCGATTCGCTAATTTTGTGTTTTCTCGACGTTTAAAGCCATTCTGAATCGAATGAGATTAAATTTGGAAAAAGTATGTGTGTGTATGCGTGTGTGTGAGCAGATTTTTTGCCGTAAATCAACGTTTTCTCAAAAACGGGTGGACCGATTTCAAAAATTTAAAAGCCATTCGATGTATCTCGATGACGACTAGGGTTTTCGAGTTTTGAGCGAAAATCGGCCGTTTCGTCGTAAATCGCAGAAAAGTGAAAAATTTTTCGTCCACGTTTTAGCCCGCAATTCTGAATCGATTTTGAAAATTCAAAAACCGTTCGATAGATATTGGTTGAGAATCGTGCTGATTAGTTTTTCGTTTTGTTGTAATACAGTTTTAAAAAAAAATTCGACGATTTTTATGCTTTTTTTTTGACGGTAGATACCATAGTATTCTAGATCATACTAAAATATTACCGCCCTACGAGAACTCGTTTAGCTTTAAAAATTCGTCAAAGTTTGCAAAAATTGGTATAGTTTTTTGGGCATTTGTCAAAAATAGACCTTTCATCGAAGTTTACTCAAAAACGCCTGAACCGATTTCAGAAATTTAAAAGTCATTCGATGTATCTCAATGAGCACTATAGTTTGTCAGTTTTGTGAGACGATTTTTCGAGCCGTTTCTTTGTAATTTGAAAAAAAGTGTTAAACTTTTTGTCGACGTTGAAGCTCTTTCTACCAAATCGATTTTAAGAAATCAAAAACTATTTGAAAGATATTAGTTGGGACTGGGACTGATACTGATTAGTTTTAGATGAAAATCTACCGAAACGTTTTCTTGTAATTAACTGTTGAAAAAAAAAATTTAAGACGATTTTTATGGAACTTTTTTTGGCGATATATATCATGGCCTTATAGAACTTACTAAAATATTACGGCCTTACGACAAGTAGTTTAATTTTAAAAATTGTTTGAAAATTTGTTTTTAGAAAATACTCCGAGTTAACGTGTTTGTTCATTTTCAATTATGTGTAATAAATCCACTCGGATACTTTTATACACTCATAAATTAATTTATTTTTTATCGATTAAATCGATTATTTACACATATCGGGAAGTTCATGTAACTTGCCTCAAGGCAAATATCAACTAGTCAACTATACGCGTTCCCGTAAAAAATTAGGACAACACCACTGGCCAACATATATTATATATAATATATAATAATAATAATTATTATTAGAATACTTTGGCATACCTTATTATTAGAAAAAATGCATGCAAGTGTGTGTGTGTACGTGTGCGGATACAAATTTTCGTCGACGATTTCGGGAACACGGTTCAACCGGTTTCAATTATTCAAAAAATATTCTATTGCTGTTGATAAGGAGACGTACTGATTAGTTTTTGGCATAGGCAGGTCTAGTCATTTCGAAGATACGGGGCAAAAAGTGCCACAAACGGTAACTCGGTTTTTAAGAGAACGGAGTGTCTGATTTTAATATTTAAAAAAACATCATACTTGTATTGGCAAAATGAACAACTGATTAAATTGTCATGAAGGTCTAGCGGTGTCGGAGATCTAATGAAAAAAGTAAAAAAAGCAATTTGGCGGTCAAAAATGATCATTAGACATATGCACATCAAATTATCAGATATTTTATAGAGATTTTAACAATAAGTATAAATTTTGTTTACCTTCCAATGGGTTCCGTACCAATGTTTATCCGTTAGGCGGCGACGCGCTTCGATATTTCGTCTCTATGCAGTTAAAGCAGTACGATTGCTTTGGAAAGAAGTTCAGAATTTACAAAATATTTCAAAATAAAGAAAACAGTTTTTTTTCAGTCTTTTTTCCAAAAAAGTATTTTTTCTCAAAAACTTACAGTTTCTCAAAAATGTATTTTTCTTCAAAAATGTCAATCTTTTCAAAAAAAAAAAAAAATTTTTTTTGGTACGGAAGTTCCAGCAATTTGCCTTAAGGCACGATGCCATGCGCCCGGCTAGTTAAGTTTTATTGATTATCAGAATAACTAAACCCGTCATCAGAATTCAAACAAATCAATAACATCATATAATATATGATACCTCTGTCTCCTTTCCAGTTTTTTTCAAACGAGCAGATGCCGCCGAATGCAATCATCAGCTCCGAACGCGTTTTACAATCGGGCAATGGGAACGAATGGCGAACCGTTTGGAAGTCGAGTGGGCCCCCAGACTGCTCGATTCGGCAACTGGACTGCGCCATCGGCAGGGATACGCTGCTATGCTGGACATCGAATGGGGGCTGTTTTGAATTTACGATTCAATTCGATTCCGAAGAACCCACGGAATTTCATAAAATTGCACAGTTTAACATGCAAGTGGGAAAACATAATTTAAATAATTAGATATATATATATATATATATATATATATATATATATATACACCTAAGTCTGTTTTTACACGGTCTTTTTGAACACGGTTTTGATATAACACGGTTTGAAAATTGAATATTTTTAATTTTTTTACACGAATTTATTCCATTTAGCACGATTTGAAATTTTATGTACCTAATTTTTTTCTGTCAAATTAAATTTTTGCGAAGTATGTTCATATCACAAAAAAGTATTTATGAAAGAAAAAAGTCTGAAACCATCGATAGTATCGATAGTTTGCGAACACTAGCTTAGATTTAAGTGAATTCCCCTTTAGCGCGTACAAACAATTGTTACTGGTCAAAGCAAATGTGAATAGCACTAATGTAATTCTTGTTCTTAAAAATTCTTGTTTTTCACCAATTTTAATAGGTTTTAGAGATTAGGAACAAATCACCCATTTTTGTATAAGATCAATGTCTTTTTTTACACGTTTTTTTTACACGGATTCTTCTGGAACCAATCTCCGTGTAAAAACAGACTTAGGTGTATATATATATATATACTAGATGACCCGACAGACGTTGTCCTGTAATCACGACTACAATTCAAAAATTCAAAATTTTCTAATATCCTGTCCTAAACTTTTTAATATCCTATTTGATGTCCTGTCTTTGTGATTTATTTATGATCTTATTCTCATTTATCTTCTTAGTATAAGATAATCAAATTTAGAATAAGACATCTTAAGAAATTCAGAAAAAAATAATATAGTATCTGCGGTAAAAGACAATATCACACTTGATTTTACCACCCAACATAATTGCTTCAATAATTTAGTCTATAATTTTTATATTCTCGTACGATATATTTGTTGCTTTTTGGCAATTATAATTTCTAAAGTACATTTTTCTTACTGATAATTTAACAAACATTATTGTTTATGTTCAAATCTTAGATGAATTAATTTGTAAAATCTAGTTCATATATGAGCACTCTTAAATCTAAGATCAACTTAAAAAATATTCCATATCCAACGCCAAACAAATGATTTTTTGACACATGAAAGAATGTTCTAAATCATTTTTTTAATAAGTAGAAACACATATTTGTACTACATAATTTGGTTACCGTGTGGTCTGTTCATTTGATCTTCTTTTCTTGCAATAATTTTCTGATATACTGGACACCTTTAAAGTTAGCAGTATGATTATTCAAACAGTAAGCACAAGTTGCTGGAGTTTCTATAGACCTAGTACATGACTTAGAAGGATGATCGTCTCCACATTTAATGCACATGTGAGGCTTATTGCAATATGTTTTGCTGTGTCCATAGTCTGGGCATCTTCTACACTGGATAATTTGTGAAGATCGTATTGGTGGTTCAAAGTGTACTATATTATTTAAAATTTTATTCACAGTAAAAATTTCATGGTTATTCTTGTTCGGTTCTAAGTCTACATAGAACATATTAAGCGGTTCTCTTGATCTGTAGTGTATGACGTTAACTATATTACTTGTTGCGTTAATTATTAAATTGAATTATATAATTTCATCTGCCAAACATATACTGTTGACAGTATCTTATATTATTTTAAATTCTGGCACATCTCAGCTGTTTTTCGGCAATAATAATGTAGACATTACATATTTCTTGTATATTATATTCTAACATTATCTAGGCTCATAATTTCAGCTAAATTAAAATTTCAAGTGAATTGACATTTCTAGTAGATGATGTTCAAATGTTTTCAATGTCAAACCATGACAAGTGGTTTTGTGAAATTTTTGCCTTTTATTTCTACAATATTACTATAGGTTTATCGTTCATTAAATCTTAAACATTTCCTTTGACAAATTTTAAAAAGAATTATCAAAATCCGAATAACCGTTCAGGAGAAGTATTAAATCATACACCAGTACAGAAGAATTTTATATATAAGATATATAATTATAATAATAAATGGTAATCTGTCTAAAGGCAGGTCCATCGTGTGAGAGCCATCACAAATAAATGATTCCCTTACCCTTTGTCGTCTATCATTCCCATTACCACTATTTTACTCCCCCCTCCTTTTACACTTTGCTGTGTATTTTACTTTCCACACTCCTGCTACCATGCTACCGTTCCTGGTCGTCAATCATCTGCATTCTTCTTTTTCCTATTCCTTGAATTGAATTTGATAGCGGGAGCACGACTGTTTGCCTCGGACACCTTGGGTTTTATATACGGTATAGACAACACACTTTCCTTCGGATACCTTTGGTTCTTTTCCTTGGTATTGATAATACACTTTCTACTTAATAATTTCTTTATTGAATAATATATACGAAAATATGTACAATAACTCCAGTCGGCAACTGTACTGAATTGCTATGAGTAGGCCCATTGCACCGGTTTTATACTAGGTCCTTAACGGTACCCGCCAGGGTTACACAACCTGCTGCAATGGGCAGGGGTATGAAACCTTTACATAATTTTAAGTTTTTAAAATAGGTTCGTTACATATCATCCTTTTAGTCCTTCTATTTTACCTTCGACTACGTCGTGTAGTAGACACTCTTTGCAGAATGGGATCAACTCAATTTCTTTTTCTTATCAGGATCGTGCTTAGTAAAGTCTTTTATTCGCACACTCTTCTCAGGACTTCTTCATTTGTTATTTTGTCTGTCCAGTTTATCTTTTCCAATCGCTTCCAGCACCACATATCAAAACTCTCTAGGTAGTTGTTATGGGCCTTTCTTAGAGTCAATGTCTCTGATCCGTACAGAGCTATGCTTCAGATAAAGCACTTCATTAGTCTCTTCCGCAAGTTGAGAGACAGTTTCCTCATCAGTATAGTTCTCTTCTTCGTGAATGCCATCTTGGTTTTTACGATATTTGTCCTAATCTCTGATCAGGATGCTTCCCAGGTATTTGAAATGATCCACGTTCTTTAATTCTCAATTTCCTAACGTTATCTTTAGGGGTTCATCTCTTTTTGCGATTCTCATCATCATCTTATATTTATATATAGAAGGAATTGATTTTTTAGATAATGTCCTTAGATCTTTTGTGCAAAAATAGTATTTGTTTTTTTATTCTCGTCGTTTTAATGATTTCTTTTAATTTACAGATCTTTCACCCACATGGACATTGTTAATCCCTTGCAGACTCATGTTGTGACCCTCAGTTCCAACAACAAATTGACACTCTGGAGAGCTCACGATGGAGTCGAGGTAAGATTGTCTTATCGAAATCTTATGATCACAAATTAGTTTTAAAAGTTTCGAAAATCGAATATTTGTGTGTTGTACATCGAAAATTAAAATGTTAGTATGTCTTTACGTTTCAAAGGTTTCTGAACATTCTGGCATACCTCAGAAAAAATTGATCTATGGGTGTAAACAGTGGCGCCGGAAGCAAATTTGTGATGGGTGGGCTCTTTCATTTTTTTTAGGCAGCCAGTGTTGCCATGCATAAAGAGAAAATCTCATATCTTGAGATTGAGCTCGTTTTTTTTATTTTGTAGGCAGCCGATGTTGCCAGAAAAAGAAAATTTCATATCTTCAGATTGATGGGTTGGCTCGTTTTTGTAGGCAGCCAGTGTTTCCAGGAAAAGAAAATCAATTTTTTCGAGATTGATGGGTGGGCTCAGAGTCAGCCCAGACGGTTTCAACGCCACTGGGTGTATGTATTCATATTATTGTTGACGATTTTGAGCGCACGGATTCAAATAGATAGATAGATAGATATATAGACAGGTAAATTGGCAGACAGGTAAACAGGTAGGGAGATACTGGTTACAAAATCATGCTTGCTTTATGCTGCTTTGGGAAGAACAAATGGTGTCCTGCATCTGGTCAACTTGTTATGCATGTAGTTATGTACATGCTGACAGGTATACAAGTTGAAAGGGAAACAGATAGGCTGGTAAACACGCAGATAGATGATTAGGTAGATATGTGGACAGATATGTGAATAAGTAGATATGTAAATATTAGGGTTTATACAAAAACCGACATTTCAGAAAACCGGTTATCAAATTTTAATTTTACTAAAAAACCGGTTTTAACCGGTTTTCGCATTTTATATAGAAAATAAATTTTTGCTCGAATATTCTGTAATTTATCCGCAAATTTAGTGTAATTTAAAGCAGTATTTGACTGAATTTATTTATTGTTCAATTTTATAGATAGTAAACAAAATTATTTTTTTAGTTAGTTTTAATTAGTAGAACTAAAATATAATAGTCTATCTTGATTAAATAACTTTGAAAATAATCGTTATCTATGCATCATTTTCACATTTACGAATGAAAATATTTTATGATAGTGAAAGAAATGTTTCCGAATAAATAAATATAATATATTTTTAAATAAAAAAAAATCATTAAATTAAAAAAAAATTTAAAAAATATTAGATACATGTTGATACATACTTGTTAATATAAATTTTAGTTTTAAAAACAATTAAGCTAAACTTTTATTTCTGTTTCGAGCAATTTTAATTAATTCATTTTAAACATTCTAATTGTTTTTTGTTAATAAAATATTATTTAAAAAATGGAAAACGTCTATCGAATTGCTACTTAAACGTGTCCTTTGTTTATTCACTGAAATAGAAATAGAAATACTCTCATATTTGCGACCAAATTATGCTTAATTGTTTTTAAAGCCTGATATAATAATTCTAAGTTTTTCTTTACTTTGTGGCTTCTAGGGTTTAAAACTCTTTTTAAGTTTGTGTAGAGGAAGTTACTTCTTGAAAAAGAAGTCATACTGATTTGAATTAATATATACACTGGTATAAAAATCTAAATTATTATATACAAAAACTTTCTGGGAACCATTGATATCAAATATTCTGGGAGACTGATAAGATATCAAATGCTATTGAAACGATATGATTTCAAGAATCAAAACGCTTTCATCTATCTTTTATATTTGGCTATATTTGTCATTTTCCATTTATACAGTGAAAACCGATTTTTTTCAGTAAATAACCGGTTTGCGAATTCCATAATTTTTGCCAAAAAACCAGTGTTTAAAACCAGTTTTTGAAAACCGACAAACCCTAGTAAATATATAGACATGTAATTAGATGAATAAGTAGATAGGTAGATATAGACAGATATACAGGTTGAGGAAAAGCAAGTAAACAAATATTTTTAGAGTGGTAGACAGGTGAACTGGTAGACCATCAGTTACCATAAATTACAAATTATATAATTAAAATGTATAAATTTCTGCTTGTGTATATGTTTATGAGTTTGTTTGTTGGTTCCCAGACAGCACAAGACATGCCAGGGAATGTCCCACTTGTCCTCACAATCTCCTAATATCGCGATATCCTATGAATATCCTATGAATATGCAACGGGACGTCTCAAAACCAAAGGACTCGAGCAGGTATAACGCAAGATTCACGAACTCATACGCTCTCATACGCGCACGGCTTGAGACCTCTAAACGTATATGTTTGTCCCTTTCTCTTTCGTCGCGTCGGTTTTGCGCCCTTTAAGGTTAGGGTTAGCGTCATCAACAGACGCTTTGAGTAATTGAGTAATAATAGTGAAAATTTATTTGCTTTATATAATTATGAGCGTGTGTATAAATAATTAATATTATTTATCAAAATACTCAAAATTGAGTAATAATAGTGTAAATTTTATGTGTTCTATATAATTATATGTGCGCGTGTGTTATAAATATTGCAGCCAACATATTGAAAGGGGGCAGATATACACGATGGTAATTAAAGCTTCTGTAATGTTATTTGAAATACTATGTTACTAGTACAAATAGAATTTTTTAATTTAATGCTGACATTTCTACCCTGCCAGCTTTCCAGCAACCATGCCTAATTTTGTATCAAATGCTGTGTTTGAAAGAGGATTGACAAAGAAGAAATGCTCTCCACTATGTTTGTTGGAGGAGCTTCAACTTGTGGAGGCTATATTTCTGAGCAAAGATATCAAAACATAATTGGTAATCAAAAGTTTATATAGATTTATTTTTATTTGTTAACTTTATCATATACTAAACAAACTTTCTCTTTAGATTCTGTATTTAGCCATCAGAGTCTAGCTATGAAAATCCATTTTCGATGATGGTTTGGCCAAAGAATTTTGCTAGGGACGAGGAAAGGGCAAAAATAAATTTTGTGATCTAGTGCCTTGCGATGTCGTCACAGGTAATTTATATATCTTATACTTTGATGTGTTGTAAATTATGAATTAAACTAATATATAATTAATTCCAGGAATTGCTTTGAAAAATTTGCCGCATGAGACATAGTTTACTGTTTCAGAGGCTGCAAAAAGCTGGCTGCGACGTGCCAATAAATATTATACAAGGTATTTTTGTGAGATGTGTACTATATGTTTTTCCTATTCACAAAAAAATCATGATTATTGACTGGTTAGTTGTATCAATGTTAGTGCAAAATTTGTGCTGTGTAAAAAACCAAGTTTAATATTCACTTGTAATGGCATCAAATTGTGTCGATATATTTGGAATTAGAGATTATTTTATAAATCTCTGTCTATTTTGATTGATGTATCGCTCTTAAAGAACTTACTCATATATATATATATATATATATATATATATATATATATATATACATATATATGCATTTATTCATTTGTTTTCTATTTCAGGAGAGAAAATCAACCATAAACTAGGATTAAATGCCGAATTAATTATATTTTTGATATTGTAAAATAAGTTATTTTGAATTAAAGTTGTATATATTAAATTTTGTTATAAAATTATCTCAGGATTTTGTTATTTTGTAATAAAAGTTTACTTTGTGAAATTGCGTTCTTTTATTTTATTTTTAATCCAAATTTATTTTTCATCTAAAAAGTAAAAAACAATTCCATAATTATATCCTATTCATGTCCGGTTTATGTCCGGAATATCCCGCGCGGGATATCCTACAGAACGTCCCATAGGTGCGACATATTAACATGTTTCGGATAAGATCAGGATAAGCGGGATATCCGTAAGGCTTCGCAGGGACAATGAATGTCCGCGCGTGGATATCCTGTGGACGTTTTCCAGGATGTCTTGTGTTATAGCAAAGTAAATATAATGCTTAAAAATATGTTTTGTTTTTGAGTTTTAAACTTACTTTTTTGACAAAAGAAAAATGTATTTAGGAAATAAGATTTATAAAAATGAATCTATGACATGAATATCTTAGAAATTCCAAAAATTACTTTTCATTTCATGTCTGTTTATTTTTGCAGATAAATATAATTCATGATGAATCAAAATTCTATTAACAATTTTAAATTATTGATCAATTTTATTAATTACACAGGCCAACAAAGAAAACGGTGCAAACGATTTTAATGCTGTTTTTAAGTATATTTGGGGCGCTGATTTCAAAAATGACATTTGTTTTTTTCTATGAGCTTTAGTTTTCAAGATATGATATATAAGAAATGAGAGTACAAAATAGTAATACTATTCAGAATATTATTTTAATGAGATATGCCTACTCGTACATACAAACTTGCAAGACCCATTCGACCTTAGTTGGGACATTAGTTGATACTGTGAAAAGTTATTTTCCGTGACGACCTAGAATGGACCTGGTTTCGGCAACTTCTTTCCAAGTTCTAAACTAGAGCTGATACAAAAAAATGGTAGATTTGAAATCAGTGTAAAAATACTATAAGAATCAGTTCTAACATTTGATCCACCAAACAAAAAAAAACTTTTTGTAGGCCTGTGTTATTGATTACTTTTATTCCTCAAATGTTTAAATACGATACTGGAAGTTCCAGCAATTTGCCTTAAGGCACTATGTCATGCACTACCAATTGGTTTCAAATGATATTTAGCCTTAGAATGATTTTCCGAAATATCTAAAAGTCTAATATTCAAAGAAATGCATGGCATCCACATGCATTAAGGCAATCAGCACTCTAACCAATTGATATAGATTAGAATTTGGCACAAATGTATCAGGTTTATTTTTATCAATTGGACAAACTAAATTTTTTTAATTCATCTACCTCTGTAGGATGCTGTGCTTGTGGTCCACGAATCCGCAAAGATATTGGTTACAAATCCCTGCCTGCCATATGCTGCTTTGGGAAGAACTGATGGTGTCCTGCATCTGGTCAACTTGTACGATACACAGAATATTTCAGATCTGGTTAAATTCAGACTAAGTGATCAGGTGATCCTTTTTATACATTAATCACTTTTTGGTTTTTTATAACACAGAACATTTTGGATCTGGTTAAATTTAGACTAAGGTGCCGATTCTGCCACATGATAGAAAAATGTTATGGCAAGGCCATGTTACGCTCCGACTTCCAGACATTATGCTAATGAATTATACTGAATACTGTCAAAATGTCATATATTTGATATGCATTCAGGTGTTTTACACATAAACTGCAACGTCACTCGTATGCTATGAAGCTGGGCCAGAAAGACCCTGTTATCTAAGATAGTTTTTTGACATTTGTGCGGTTTCTAGGTTAGGTTTTCTATCTGACAACCTGAGAAATACGCCTGATTGCACAGCAACCACATGGCTTTTGTCAATATTTAGTATGAAAAGTTCTTCATAACATAACCTTGCCATAACATTGGTCTGTTTTGGGGCAGAATCTTTATAAATCTTTTTCTTTTATAAATGATCATTATCTTTTTTTGCAGCCTATCAACTTCATAACTTTTCCTCAATCTGGGCGCTACATAGCCGCCTCCAATTTGGAATCTGGTGAACTGTTTGTTATTTCTGGAAGCGTTGGTTCCAAAATGGACATCTTGTACTACATCGATATCCGGCACCAGTGCGCGATGCTTACCTGCATGGAAGTAGGGAGTGATGTCAGGATTGCCACCTTGATGGTGACGGATGACACTTATCTGGCAGGTAGGATATGTGATTGGTGATTTGATAAGATTTTTGTGTATATAAAATTTTCATGCCACAATGCTTGTTCACGTACTCCTCTGAAACGGCTTTACCGATTTTTACTAAATTTTATATTTGTATTCAGTAGGTTTGAGAATCGGCTACTATCTATTTTGCATACTAGGGTTAGTGATAAAGGTTGTTTACCCTTACATTTTTTTTAATTTTTGGGCGATTTTTTATAATGTGTCATTAAAAAATACCTGTTTATTAATATTAAAATGCACTAACCACTATTTTTAACTTTCCGTAGGGTAAGTTATTGTAATCGTCCAAAAATAGAAATTCAAAATTTTTACATTTTTCGACGTTTTGAAGGTTTCTGGACATTTTAGCATACCTCAGAAAAAATGGATGTGTGTGTGTGTTTTGTGTGTCCGCATTTTTTCAACCGATTTGAATGGTTCAAAAAACATTCGATTCCTATTGATATGGAGATGTGCTGATTTGTTTTTGGAGATAAAGAGCAAAGAGTGCAGAAAATAGAAATCGAGTCTTTGAGAGAACGGAGCATCCGATTTGAATGATCTAAAAAACATTCAATTAGTAATGATTGGGAGAAGTGTTTATTTGTTTTTGGCGAAGAGAGGCTCAGCCATTTGTAAGATACAGAGCTAAATATACAAAAAAGGCAGTTTTTGACAGAAATAAACATCCGAATTGAATGATTCAAAAAACTTTCAGCTTGTGCTTGTGACAAAAGAATTACTTTTGGAAAAAAAAATGTCATTTTTTTGTATATCGAAGGTGATTCAGATTTCAATTTTAATTCTGGCTAAAGTTTTAAAGCTTACTTATATACATAAAATGAATATTTTTGACTATGTGATTCAGTCAAGTTATAATGATCGCAAAAAATCGAAAATGAAATTTTCTATATATGTTTACGTTTTAAAGGTTTCTGAATATTTTGGCATATCTTAGAAAAAATGGATGTATATGTGTGTGCGGACATAAATTTTGGTGGACGATTTCGGGAACACCGATCAACCGATTTGAATAATTCAAAAAACTTACGATTCGAATTGATGAGGAGACGTGCTGATTAGTTTTTGGCGAAGGCAGGTCTAGCCATTCCGTAGATACGAAGCAAAAAGTGCCAAAAACGGTAATTCGGTTTTTAAGAGAGCGTAGCGTCCGATTTTACTTGTATTGACAAGATGAACTGATTAAATTTTTGGAAAGGCAGGTCCAGCGGTTAAGCACTATCAATAAAAATAAGTTAAAAAAATGTTCATTGGATATATGTACATCAAATTATCAGATACTTTATAGAGATTTTAATAATGTGTACACATTTTATGTAAATTTTTTAGGGTTCCGTACCAAGATTTTTAATTACGGTACGGGAAGTTCCAGCAATTTGCCCCATAGGCACGATGCCATGCACCCCACTAGTTTATAACCATTTTAATAATTCACTCACTTTTATCGCGCGTTCAGTCATTGAATATTTTTGGCATATTTTTAGTTCAGATTTTTGAGCTTATTAAAGAAGAAGCCTAAATTTTACTTGTAAAAACAATTTGTTTTTTCAATGGTTGTCCAATCTTAATAGTTTTTTTTTAATTTTTGGTCAATTTTTTTATTATATTTTTTTAAATGTGGGATTGATAAACACATACAACTTTTTTTACTTTAAAATACTATTTTTATCAAGGGTGATCCAACCTAAATTTTTAACTTCCCGTAGGGTGAGTTATAGTACTTGCAAAAAAATCGAAAATGAAAATTTTTGCATATCTTTACGTTTTAAAGGTTTCTGAACATTTTGGCATACCTTAGAAAAAATAGATACATGTATGTGCGTGTGTGTGTGTGTAGTATGTATGTATGTATGTTTGGATACAATTTTTTGTCCACAATTTCGATTTGAATGGTTCAAAAAACATTCGATTCCTATTGATAAGAAGACGTACTGATTAGTTTTTGGTGGAAACAGGTCCAGCCGTTTCGGAGGTATGGGACCAAAAGTGCTAAAAACGGTAATTCAGTTTTTGAGAGAACGGAGTACCCGATTTGAATGATTCATAAAACATGAATAATTGATGAAATTTTTGGTGAGGCTGGTCTAACGGTTTTGGAGATACAGACTAAAAGTAAAAAAAAATGATATTTGTTGGTCAAAAATGAGCATTAGAAGTATGCACATCAAATTACCCCAGATATTTGATAAATTTTTTAAAAATGAGTTCTAATTTTTTTGTTACAATTTTGTTGGCTTCCATACCAAGATTTTTAATTTTTAAAGTTTATGCGGTTTAAGCTAATTTCAAAATTTTCCGAAAGAAAAAATTCTAACTTTTCAAAAATATTCAAAGTTTTTTACTTCAAATATGAAATTTAAATTTACAATTCTAATCGTAAGAAATATATCCTCAGATGGATTCATTCGGCACCTCTTGCTAATGTAAACTATCTCAAGTGTTTTGAGCAATAAGATCCTCACTGTATATTTTTTGAACGATCAAATATATAGTGATTATAATTATCTATTTGAAAATGTATAAAACAATAGTTGTAAATCATTGATCAATTTTCATTTTTCATTGATTTTTTTCCTCGAATATATACTACTGGTATTTCGAGATTATTTTTTTTATTTTAAATGAAATTTTTTTTACTACATATTTATATTTTTAAAAATACATGAACTTTTTTTACTACGAAAACCTATTTATTTTTATCAAGGATTGTCCATTTCAATTTTGGAATTAATTTTCTTTTAATTTTAATCTTCACAATGCAGAATTAAAAAATGCATACTACTCTAAATTTACATCTTCCTTCCATAAATCTCTATTTCATAATTGCCATTTTAGTATTCGAATATTTTTTCACCATAAATCTCTGAAACCGCTGGACCTGCCTTTTCAACAATTTAATCAGTTCTTCATTTTGTCAATTCAAGTAAAATGTTTTTTCTATTATTGAATTCGGACGCTCCGTTATCAAACTGAATTACCATTTTTGACACTTTTTGCTCCGTATCTTCGAAACGGCTGCAGCTGCCTTTGACAAAAACTAATCAGCAGGTTTCTTTATCAATAGGATCAAATGTTTTTTGGACCATTCAAATCGCTTGATCCGTGTTCTCTGAATCGTCGACGAAAAATTGTATCTGCACATACATATATACATACACACACCTACAAACATACATCCATTTTTTCTAAGGTATGCCAAATTGTTCAGAAACCTCTGAAACATAAAGATATATACTGCGAGAAGTTAATAAAGTATGAGGACTCTATTGACAAACAAACTGTATATCTATTTGATAAAATAAAGCACTCTACGAGTCAAAAAGGACTCTCCTAACGAACAAACTGAATTTCGTCATGAGAAGCAATAAAAGATTAGATTGACTAGAAAATAGATATGAAAAAAAGAACTTCTATTTAATGGCAATCAAATTCATAGGAGTCAAATATAATGGGCTTTTTGAAATTAAATATAAAAATTAGAAAAGGACTCTATAGAGTCTAAAGAATCAATACCTTGTCAAAACAAACATGACTTGAACAAGAAGAATAATCATAAATCTACTGAAAAGCAAATTAAATAGTTACCAAAAAATCAAAATCGAAGAGGCTACTGAATGGCAAATCTCCAATTTAAATAGTTTTGCCAGTATTTTCTACATGCAAAACATTTTTCCATACTGTTGGAATTCTCCTAACCTCATAACAATTGATAGGCCCCTACCAGTTAATGGGTCACTGGGGCTCCAAAAAATCAACAGGCATCCATACTGAGCCTTGTATAAATATAAATATAATAAAAACCCAATTACTTGATTTTTATGTAACACCTGTCGGACAGTATTTCAAAGCGTGTGCTAGCCGACCAAATGTTAGTAAGAGGAACCAGAATGGTAAAGGCAATTTATTAAAATCTCCGTTGCAACAAATAAATATTGGACGAAGAAGTTTAAGAGGACGGACTACTGAAAAGCAAATTAAATAGTTACCAAGAAATCAAATTCGTAGACGCTATTGAAGGGCAAATCTCCAATTCAAATAGTTTTGCCAGTATTTTCTACATGCAAAACATTCTTCCACACTCTGTTAGAATTCTTCTAATATCATAATAATTGATAGGCCCCTACCAGATAATGGGTCACTGGGGCTCCAAAAAATCAACAGGCATCCATCCTGAGCCTTCAATAAATATAAATGTGATACAAACCGAATTACTTGATTTTTATTTAGCACATGTCGGACAGTATTTCAAAGCGAGCGCTAGCCGACCAAATGTTACTAAGAGGAACCAGAATGGTAAAGGCAATTTATTAGAATCTCAGCAAAAAAATGAATATTATATGCATAAAATAATCTGAACTAAATTCACAAGAGTGGTAATTTAGATTTTAACGAACTCTGCAGAACGCGTCGCCAGACAGACAGACAGACAGACAGAAATAAAAATTTATTCAATATATACAGTGTAAAATACAGTGAATTATATGTGGGTTTGTCTACCCTGGGGGTATTTTACCCAAAAGTTTGTGGTTTTACAATATTGTCTATATATTTGTATTTGTACAATATTTTATTCATTATTTCGCAAGGACAAAAAAAGGAGACGATTTTTGTCACCTAAAAAAATCCTTTATTCATTGTTTTATGGCTTATGTATTCACTGCGGGCTCGATCAGGTAGTTAGGCATGGCATAGTTCCCGTACCAGATCATTTCTGATGTGTACTGGCCTAACGCGCGGATGGTACTATTATCGTGATCCCTACACTTTCGGTAAAAATTCTCGGTGAGCTTTTTTATGTGTTCGAGTATGGTCGGTATGTCCGTCTGTTCGTGTAAATATTTCGTTGGGTAGTAGTGTCTCGTCAGTGGGTTCCTTGATTTGTCTAGTACCAGTCGCAGTGCTTTGTTCTGTGCTATTTGTAGTCTCCGTCTGTTGGTCTTGGTTGTCGCGTTCCATGCCGGAGCGGCGTAT